ACAAGACTGTGACTTCTCCGGCTTCTCTCTCTAAGGGCTTCGCCAAGGCAGGACGACGTGCGTTCTGCACAGTGACTTAGGTGGTGCCTCCTACCATCTCCATCTGCTCAGGAGCCACGAGGGCCCCTTATTCCTGTGGAACCCGCCCTTTCTGCGCACCACCCACGGTCACCACAGCACCAGATGGCCTCCAGGGAACATCTCCACTCTACCCTTGAAGGCTCAATGCACCAATAAAAAACTGCAGCCTCCAAAACAGCAGTAGAAAACCCCAAACATTTTAAACTCAGATTCCCCCTTTACTGAGCCCCACAGTTTTGTTTAAAAAAAAAATACTGTTTTTTCAAAATAACAAAAGAGAATAAAGCAAATCAAGTTGGTTTGAACCCTGTGCACTAACTCCAATTTCATCTTCTAAAACATACACTTTCCAGTATCAACCAGCCAGCTGATATTTTCCTACATTCAAAGGAAGCAATTTTCTCCAATTTTACAGTCTCTCCAGTCCTGCATCCTGAGACTCGCAGGGCTCTGTGCTAACAAGTGGGGGCTGATGAGAAATGAGGGGACACACGGCGGGTCTGGCCCAGCACAGGGCTCCCAGCGCGTTGGGACTCCAGTTGAACAGGCTGCAGGGAGGAGGTGGGCCGGGAGGGGCCCTGAGGCTGGGCCCTGCCTGGGGCTGGAGGCCAGCTCATCAGCGTGTGTCCGCCAGGCAGCCCAGAGATGCTGAGCGGAGGGAGGGAGTCCCTGAAGGATGCAGGTGGTCCAGCCCGCTGGGAGCCCAGGGGCTTACCAGGTTCTCCAAGGTTGGGCCCAGCCTGCCTTCCTAACGGCAGAAGCAGAAGACTTTGCTGGAGTGTCACCCAGAGGCTCCCTGGGTGGCTGTGACAGCCACCTAAGCAAGTCACGGGTCCTATTAACGCGAAGGAGATCGGTGCTGTGGCTCACGGCGGAAAGAGGAAGGAAAGCTGTCTTTCCCTCTTTCTAGGAACAGCTTTCTCCCTGTTGTGGCCCATGACAGGGTTAATAAGCCATCTCTGCCGTATGAGTAGTCCGGTTATGGACGTTGATGATGAAAACAGGGGGTGTTCCTATTGGCAGACACAGGGGGCTGTGGGCAGGGCAGTTCTTCTGAGTTTCTTGCTTAGGGAAAGCTGGGACTTGGATTCGGAGATAGAAAGGTTGAGCTGTGATGTCTGCGGGACAGTCAGGAAGCTGGGGAGGGCGGCCTGGTCTGCAGACGCCCAGTTAGACGTCAGAGTGGGAGCCCTCCAAGACCAGGAGACTGAGAGCCAGAGGGCAGACAGAAGGGGGGACGCCGGAGCCCGAGGCCCAGGCCACCAACGTGAGCAGAGCAGGACAAGGGGAGCCAGCCGCAGGGCCTGCGAGGGTCCACCAGGACTCAGAGACAGAACCTGGGATGCGATGGCCTCAAGCCACCAGAGAACGGTTGCGAAGGGGACAGGGGAATCGTTTCGTCCAGTGCTGCTGGTGCTCAACGAGGAGTTCTGAGAAATGACCACTGAACCCGGCCACCTGGGGGACAGCCAGGATTCCAGTGAGGGGGGTTTCAGGGAGGCCTGATTGGAGTGGCTTCAAGGAAAGAGGAGAAGAGTGGGGAGGCCAGGACAGGCAACCGCTTCAAGCTGCCAAAGGGAGCAGAGGGGGAGGCAGAGCCTGGTGGGAACCCACTCAGCTGGGGGTGTGTTTAAGGTAAGAGAAACGAGAGCACGCTTCTTTCAAATCACCATAATCTAGGGGTGCCTGTAATCCCAGCGACTCGGGAGGCTGAGGCAGGAGGCTCACAAGTTCAAGGCCAGCCTCATCAACTTATTGAGACCCTATCTCACGGGGATGAAGTTTAGTAGTGGGGCCCCCCTGGGTTCAATCCCCAGCACTGGAGGAAGTAATCTAATACAGAGCAAAAAATAATAATAGAAACGTTTGGGAATTCTGGGGAGAAAGTGAAGCCAGTTCACCTGGGGTTCCCCAGATGCAGCAGGTGGGGGCAGGCCACCCATGGCTGCGGCTGGGCAGGTGGCAGGAGGGAGAGATGGAGGGGTGGGCTGGGGGTGCCCGAGCTCTTTTCTGGTAGGTTCAGCGGGGAGGAGGCTGAGAGGGGGACAGGGAGTGCTGCCGTGCTCCATCTCCAGAGGCCTCCTCTGTAGGCCCCAGGGCTGTGGCCACCGTGTGAGGGGAATCTGCAGGGTTTCAGGTCGTTAAAGGATGTAAAGGCCACTGTGCCATTCAATTTCAGAAGATGCAGATTTAACAAATGAGCCCATGATATTAAGATGAGGGAGGGGCTCTTAACTCAGCCCAACACAGGGGCCCCTGGTGACCAAAGTGTGTCGACTCTGGACCAGTCACCCCAAGACGAGACCCAGGCTGTCCCTGTTCAAGGTGGTGGTGGACACACACGGAAGACATGGTCCTCTTGCAACGATGGCTGGGTTTCCTTGGCCACCTGGGATTTGCTGCTGGTGTGGGCATCAGAGGGGCACGGAGAGTAAAGGAGGTACTGGGTGGCGATATTCTGGGATGCTCACACCCTCAATCTTGGTTCTAACATGAGGTAGTGGTGGGGCGGCAAAAGGAACTGGCCGGGGAAGGGAGGCCCAATTCCACCAAGGTACACAGTTCACACACTGAGACGGGGTTCAAGTCCGATTCTGTGACTTTCCTACTGTGTGACGTTGACCGAGTTCTGGAAGCACTGCAGCCTCCACTTCCTGTACAATGGGATAAGGGTAGTAGAGAGAACTAAATGACCTTGTGTACAAACAGGGCTTAGCCTAGAGGCGGGGCATGGCCCACAGCAGATGGTACGGATGATGGTGACAATGACGATAGGGAAGAGGGTCACTTCATTTACCTTAAACCACTGTGCTTGGCAAGGAGGAAGAGACGGAATGCTCAGGAGGAGGGATGAGCGAAAGAAAAATTGGGGAGTGGGGAAAGGAGACCCATCTCTCTCGGATATTCTGCAAAGGGGCTGCTCTTTGGGAAGGCCAGGCCTCTGGTTCCTTCACCTCACTGTGCACTTTAAAAAGGAAGAGCCATCCTGTGGAAGCCCCCCGACATGGCAGGCAATCCAGGGGAAGTTGGGGGGGCTGTGTCCCGGGTCTGACCTGCCCAGACAGGCAGGCTGGGCACTCTGCGGGCACGTGGGCTCGGACTACTGCTGCTGTGAACCCCCCACTCTGGAGGTAGAAGGGAATTCTGCTGGCTCCCTCCAGAGCCAGGGCACCTCTGGGCCAGGTCCATCACTCACTCATGAAACACAAGCCTCTTGTATGGTTAACGGTGCCCACCCGGGAGGGCACGCCTCTGTCCCGGGCCTCCACACCTCTGCCTGTGGGTTTTGTGCTTTGTTTTGTTTTGTTTTTCATATAGAGGGTTGATTCAGGCCAAGTCTGAAACCATGTGATTCCAATAAAAAATACAGAGCTGGGTGGCGTGGGCCCCTGTGGATCTGCCCGGCCTCCTGCAGCCGCCTGAGCCTGGGGCCTGGCTGTCGGCCTCACTTCTGGCCCTGGTTTCCCCCAGTCTGCCTCGCTGCCCACTTTGGTTTCCTTGTTCTCTTAGCCCTGGGCCCTCCTGGTCACGGGGCCAGCTTTCTAGACTTTGGCTTTACTGGGGTCTGCCCTCAGCTTCTCCAGCCAGGCTGACCACTCTTCAGCTCACGCCATCCCTGAAATGCCTTCTCAGGAAGAAGGGGATCCCGCTCTCCTGCCTCCTGCCCGTGAGACCACATGGCTGCTCCAGAACGCGACTTCTGGCTCCTTCAGGACAGGGACCACATTTCCTTCCCAAGACCTGGCCCAGGGCATGCCCCGGGTGCTCCAGGTGCCTGTGCTACCAGCAACACAGCATACAGTGGGCGCCAAGCCAGGGCTCCTCACCATGGAACCCTTTGCTCGCCTCGTGGGGCTCTCTGGGTGCCTCACCCACCTTCACGACCCCTGGCTCTCATTTCTCCTGGTTTTATAAAACATATTCCTTCCAAGAGCCACCTGTTCTTTCAAGCTAAATAAGCTCATCCAAGGGTCAGAATGGACACTGAGTCGTCGTAGAGGACAAAAGAGGAGCAATAACTATGTGGGAGGCTGAGGCCAAGAGGCCTCACTAACTAATTTTTCAGAGTCTGGGGGCATGAGGAACGTTTTAGAGGCACTTTGACAGCACAACACACAAGCACACGAGTCACTCTCCCAGAGAGCACAGGGAAAGAGAGCAAAACTGCAAGTCCAGGAGGTGGACTTCCAACCACAGATGCACTGCTAACCCACTGCGTGACCTTGGACTGGTGACTTGCCCTCTCTGGACCGTATTCATTCTGAAAGTCAGGAAGTAGACTAGGCATTGAACACTACATTGGGAAGGTGTGCCAACCCGAGGGTTAACTCTCAAGGTCAACTGCACCGAATGCTAACAGCAGCCCTGGAGATAACAGGCATCGACATCTGGCTCCCATGGATGCAATCGCCCGGTTTCAGGCCCAGATAGGGGAGAAAGATCATGTCCAGTTCCAGCAAAATATGAACACGTGGCTTTCCATCCCTAATTCTTTGTTTTGCTATTGAAAAGACAAATCCCTCAAACAAGAAACCTAGATTTGATCCGGTTTAAACCTCAAGGGAAAACAGATGGATCCCACCTGCACACCAGGCTCCCTGCACCTCTCTCCCGTCCCTCTGCTCAGAGAAGGGAGAGCAGGAGCAGCAGAGAGCCAGGACCAGGTGGGGGCAGCTCAGCTGCTCTCCGGGGCCCTGTTGCCTAGCAACGCGGCACATCTGGCCCGAGCAACAATGGCTCTGTGAGAGGGGAGGGAGGTCCTCGCAGCCGATTCTCATGAAGCACAGGCGGAGGAGGCACAGCGTGAGGAGCCCACCTTCCAGACGCCACTGCTGTCACAGGAAAGCCCTGCCCGTGGACAGGCCCTGCAGCCTGAGCCCGACCCTGGGGAGGACGGGTAGGGAGGGCGCGAGACTTACCACTTATCCACTTGGCCTCGGGGTCGTGGAGTTTGAGATCTTCACTGAAGAGGTCTTCCACGGTGACCTTCTTCTTCTGGGACAGACTGTTGTCTTCCGCTAGAAAAGAGGAGGCAGAGGGTCAGACCTGCTTTTTAATCAACAAAGATGGACCGCAACACATCCTGGTGGCCATTCGGAAATAGCACCTACGGTGAAACACAGACGGCCGGCCTTGGCTTCTGTTGTTCATTAAATTACCAAACACTCTGGTGAAGGGGCTGGGCTGTAGCCCAGGGGAGGGCACTCGCCCTGCACGTGGAGGGCACTGGGTTCCATCCTCAGCACCACATAAAAAATAAAATCAAGGCATTGTATCCATTTACAACTAAAACCCAGAACAGAACAAAAGTGTGGTAAGGCGTCATGAATCAGAACAGCCCCTTCTCACTCCTACTGGAACACATAAATGACCATATCTGGGGGTAAATGACTGTGTCAAGGCTGAGCAAGGGGGAGGCACAGAGGTCAGAATGGAGCCCTCGGCCAGGTGCAGGTGCCTGTGCGGCACTCACTCACTGACACCATTAACCACAGGCGGCATGGCGATTTCTGAGTGTTGAGAGCCACAACCAGGTCAAGATGGCGCCTGGCATTTTGCCAGAAGGAGTGGTTGAGGGGTAGCACCAGCGAGCCATTAAGATGATGATAATTAAGTTAAGCTGAGTATAATCATTAAGATAATGACTGATTGCTGGAACTGGATGATGCTGGACTGGGGCAAGCTGTGTATTCAGTTGTGTATATGAACCTCTGCTGTCCGGCAATAAGGCAGCTCCTGCTACCTCGGGTGCCCGCTACTTTTGAGTTCTCGTGGAGTTCTCGCGGAGTTCCCGTTCAGTTCCCGTTGAGTTCCCATTGAGTTCTCTCGGAGTTCCCGTTGGTTCTCGCGGAGTTTCGGTTGAGTTCTGGTGGAGTTCCCATTGGGTTCAGGCAATGAAGTAGTTCCTGTTTGAACCTACAAGTGGCTGGTGACCTCCCGGTTATTTGTGCCCAGCCAGACTGTGGCATCTGAGAACATGGAGGCACCCAGATGCTCCGTGGGTATTTGCTCTCTGTGAGCTTCCTAGTCCCTGGTGTCTCTGGGTGGGGGTTCCTCCCATCCAGATACCTGTGTGCCGGCTCCCAGACCCTGCCCTGCCCCCTCTCGACTCCCAGGCTCAGGTGGGCCCTGGATAAGCCGTGAAGGAACTTCTCTAAAACTTGCCCAAGAGGGACCCTCCGCTAACGGCACTGGCTGCCGGGGCTTGGAAGACCTGGTAGCCCTTCCCCACCTCCAGAGGGCGAAGTTTCTGGGATTTAGCGCCTCCTCAGAAGACCACAAAATCCCGTTTATCTGCTTTGAAAAGATGCAGGATCTGGGAGCCTGAGCTAACAGAGGGACCTGGAGGACAGTCCACCTGACCAGCTCCCTTCCTCCGCCTTGGCGGCTCCCCCCAGCGGCCTCCCCCAGGCACAGGAACCAGATGAGCAGGGCAGGCTGGGAGTCGGCTGTCTGCACTGTCACCTGTCTGGGGAGGAGCTGACCCCCAGCCTGCTGACCAGGGACTCCTTCAGTGAGACCATTTCCAACCGACACTGTCCTCTAGAGAGCTTCTGTGGCCCTGCCCTCTTAATAGAAGACACTGAACGTCACTGCACTTTCCTCAAGACCTGGTCCCCGTGCCCTCGGCTCTGCAGTGCTGCCAGGGGGTGGGACCGTCAGGGGCTCGGGTCACTGCGTCCCTGCCTGTGACGTCCGCTCCTGGTCCGTCTGTGATCCTCCGCGTCACGGGCTTCCAGGGTGCTGGTCCTCGGCACTACACGTTGCCTGCTTTAATCTCGGGGTTCAAGGCCCTGGGGCCGGGAGGCTAGCAGGGAGTTCTGTGGGAATCCTGTGATGGGTCAGAATACGCGTCTGCTCAGCAAATCCCCCGAGTTTCTGAGACTGTCTCACCGCCTCCCATTGCTTTCTTTTGGCCTCTGGAGGTTACAGTTTATTGAAGTTATCTGAAAAGCCATGTTTTCCTTTATGTCTTGGTTGATTTCTTGACTGTCAAATAGGCTCATTGGATACAAAAGCCTTTTGAAAGGTGCAGAGTAATGTGATTCAAGGGGTCTCACTGGGACAGGAGCACCTGTGGGGGTGTCCAGGTGCTGCCCACGACGTGGAAGCCAGCCAAGCGCTTTCCCTGTGCCCCTGAAGCAGCCCTGGGAGGGCTCGGCTGACCCAGGAGCTCTGCTCAGGGAAGACGGTTAGACCTGAGCACGTTACGGACCCCAGGATCACATCTCCTATGCTGTGGCCGGGATCTCATCTCCTATGCTGTGGCCTGGATCTCATCTCCTGTGCTGTGGCC